AAAGAGAGACGCAGCTAGACAGAGACAGAGACAAAGATGGAGAGACAGAGACACACATGCACTCCAGCACAGGCCAGTGGCCAAGCATGCTGTGAATGAAGTCTTCAGGGTGTGCCACTAGCCAGCTGAGAATAGTGTACATATTACTGTTTGTATCTCAAATTAAACCGGGTGGTGGGATAAGAAACTGCAGCCTGGAATTTTTTTCCAACAAGCTGATGGGCAGGGGCAGGGGCAGGTGCTGCCAGGTGATGACGTGTACCGGACAGCAGGTCGGGCGGGTAAGCCTTTTGTGGAGAATCCTTTCAGAAAGCAGAGGGCGGTTACTGAGATGGTGTCTTAAGGCGTCCGGAACCACCTGCCTTAAGGGATTTACGTAGGAAGGTGACCTGCTGGGCTGGCCTGGGTGACCTTTGGGAAGAATTCAGGAGAACCTCTGCAGAGACAGCTGGGGGATGGACTGCCCAGGGCGCTAGCTACAACAAGAAAAAGCAGGGGAGAGGGAAATGCCAGGAACAGAGAGTAACAACACCAAAGGAAACGAGATAAGGAGGGAATGTAATCACCCCTTGGGCTCTGGAGAGGACAAACATGATTAGCAGCTGCAGCGGCAAGGTGGCCTGGGCCAGTCTCCTGGGCCCTGGGCCGCTCTCCTGGGGCCAGAAAGAATGTGGGTGGGAGACAGTTTGTCCCCAGGAGGGAAGCAGGTGACCAGAATGCCTGAGAGTCCCTTCCTTTCCAGCCGGTGTGTGATAGATAGCCCCAGAAATCGGAAGAGCCATGGCACTAATAGCTATCTGCTAAAGAAGAGCTTTAAGATTATATATATATGATCATATATATATATATATATATATATGTGATTTATTTCAGAGAGGAAGGGAGGGGGAGAGATGAAAACATCAATGATGAGAGAGGATCTTTGATTGGTGGCCTCCTGCATGCCCCCTTCTGGGGATTGAGCCCGCAACCTCAAGGGCATGTGTCCTTGACTGGAATTGAACCGGGGACCCTTCAGTCTGCAGGCTGATGCTCTATCCACTGAGCCAAACCAGCCTGGGCAAGAAGAACTTTGAAGATCAGACTCTTGTCCCAAAGAGGAAAACAACCCAGTCTGGAAAGACTGAGATCAGAGAGGAAGACCTAGCGCACACCCAGCACACAGTGCATGCTCAACAAACATACACCTCTGAGCTCCGGGAAGAGGGTTTGCAGTCCAGAGAGCTGGCTCCAGGGGCCCACGTCTACCTCACCCCATTCCCAGCTTCCCCTGTTCCTCCTGGAGGCTTCCTCTACCAGGGGGTCCCCAGAAGCCCAGGAATGGGCTTTATCAGCTTCCCAAATTGGACTGCTTACCTCTGTAACCCGTTAGTCGGATTATAAGCCCCGTGTTTTAACCTGCACCTTGCATCCTGTGGAGACCATGCGCTTTGCTGTCTGGTTTTGACCCTTGGCTTGTTTTCCTTTTCCTTGAGAGGCAGCGTGGAATGCTTGGGAGGAGCTGAGTTAGAGTTAAGAGTCCAATTTGGGAAGCTGATAAATAATGGGGGGAAAAATGTAGTATTTGGAAGTGGAGGTTGGGTTGGGAAGGAGGACAGAATTCTAGGGTGTTATAGAAGGTGTTGCTATGAAAAGAAGTTTACAAACTTCTGATGGGACTGGAGTGTAAGAGAGAACGCAGCACTGCATTCTCAGCCAGCAGGAAAGAGCAGTGTTGCAAACTCCACCGAAGGCAGAACCCAAATCGGGCAGGTGTGTGATTACAAAGGGACAGGCGGACTGCTTCCAGCATCCTAACCCAGTAGACAACAAGGCAGGGCAGGTGGAATCAGCACTAAGGTGACCCTGGCCTCTGAGGACTGGCACTGCCTACAAGCACACCCATCAGAGGGTCAGGTGATTACAACCCAAGATGTGCCAATTCTGGTGTAGCCTTTCACATCAGGACACTATGGCCCTGGAGGTCCTGTGACGGTCACACGGCCAGGTCCAGGGGACTTCTTAGACGAAATAAGGCCAGTGTTCATCATCCTGGGTCACTCCATCAGCCTCAATCAAAAAATGCAAATGAGCTACCTTTAGGCATGCAAGGAATAACTATTTCCAGAGCCCTAAACTTTTTGAAGCAGAAGAACTCACAGGACTACCTCTTTCAACAGTGCTATATTCACTAACGCACATTAGCAGTGCATAGTGTTTGGAGGACCTCACCACTGCCAAGGAGATTAAGGGGGAAACCTGGACACATCCAAGTGGACAACTGGCCTACCAGAACAGCTGGGACTCAAATCGGCCCCGAACCCTGACCCCTGACCCTTAACCCTAACTCAGCTCCTCCCCAGCATTCCACGCTGCCTCTCAAGGAAAAGGAAAACAAGCCAAGGGTCAAAACCAGACAGCAAAGCGCATGGTCTCCACAGGATGCAAGGTGCAGGTTAAAATGCGGGGTTTATAATCCGACTAACGGGTTATAGAGGTAAGCAGTCCAATTTGGGAAGCTGATAAATAATGGGGGGGGAAATGTAGTATTTGGAGGTGGAGGTTGGGTTGGGAAGGAGGACAGAATTCTAGGGTGTTATAGAAGGTGTTGCTATGACAAGAAGTTTACAAACTTCTGACAGGACTGGAGTGTAAGAGAGAACAACCCCCTTCCCCCCAACCCCTCAACCCAGCATTGGAGCGACTCAGCTGTGCCTTGGAAAAGAGGGGAGCCAAGACCTCACAGAGATGTGCAAACCATTCAAGTATTGGGTTAGTGAACACGTTCTCTCTCTCTCTCTCTCTCTTTTTTTTTGTCTCCACTCCATACACGTGCAAATAAAATTAAAATTACAACATAAGAGCAATTAAAGTGAGAGAGGGGTTCGACATTCCGGGAAGAGTGGCATGATGGTTAATGCACAGTATGTTAGGCAGGAAGGGAAAGCCAGGTCAGGGTTTTTCTGTTCTGGGTAGGCAGGGGCTGGGGTAGGTAGGACAAGCTAGGGATGGTTGGGTGGGTGGCAGCCTTGTTGCTCGCCACTCCTGTCGCCTACAAGTGCCATCACACACTTTCTGCAGAGTGAATGTTCCAGGCTAGGCATGTGGGCGGAGAACACTGCACCTGTCACACAACCTCACAGCTGGGCAGGGAGCTTGGGTGGCCAGGCACACAGCTCTGCCACTAGGAGCTTCAGAAATCCTCTGCAGAGGCATGAGTCATTGGGCTGTTAGGATTCATGGTCAAAGAAAAGGGACAACAGTGCGGCCACAACAGACCCGCATAACTGCTCCATAGGACAGGGCTGAAACTGTGTGGCTATTGCCACTGAAGGCAGTAACGCTGGAGAAAATAACCCTATCATAGCTCAGCAGAGGCAACAACTAACGGTGCCAGAGAGAACCACACAGTGGTGGTCAATCATTTTAGAGCTTGTTTCCAGAAGGGATTGTCAAGTCAACTGATCAGAAACACAAGTCCAAAAGGAGCCTGCATCGGTCACACAGAGCCATCCGTTGACTGCATGAGACATGTATTTCATTCCAGAGAATTCTTTAAAAGAAAAAAAACCTGGTAGGACCAAAAACAGCCGTGAAATCACCCTGACCTCACAGCACAAAGTGATGTAATGTAAGTCCACCCTATTTCTCTCACTACTACTTTCCTAAGTCACTTTCCCCAGAACAGACACCCAAGGCTTTCCCTGGGTCCCTCAGGTCACAACTACCACGAATGCTCTTACACATCCCCTCTACCTAAGATTGCACGGCTCCTGCACAGACACCAGGTCCACACCTGGGCTGCTCCTGCCTGCACTTGGCTGCCTGGCGCCCTACAGTCTCTAAGGACATTATTAATAGAAATATGTCCTAAGCCAGCACCAGGAGGCTTCTGCAATCACCGGCTGTTTCTAAAAGAACACCTTGCTGAAAAGGGCTGGTGTGTGTGTGTGTGTGTGTGTGTATGCTTACTATTCCTGTAATCATATTTTGGGACCTACTGCTACAAGCCGTTTCAGTCTCTCTCTCTCTCTCTCTCTCTCTCTCTCTCTCTCTATATATATATATATATATATATATATATATATATATATATGTATATATTTGATTATATATAATATATTATATATATGCAAAATTGATTTTAGAGAGAGAGAGGAAGTGAGAGGGAGAGAAAGAGGGAAATATCAATGTGAGACAGGCTGCCTCCATATGTATCCCCACTAGGGATCAAGCCTGAAACCTGGGCATGTGCTCTGACCGGGCAGCAAACCAGCGACCTTTCACAGGACAACTCTCAACCAACTGAGCAACACTGACGAGGACCCAGTCCTCACATCTTTTAATTCCTCTTTCAGGCAAACCCTCTACTCCTCTTCATGAGAATCAAGAAGCTCCACTCCTCCGATCCAGTTAAGGGAGAGGAGAGGTAGGAAGCTGTTTTTTTAACCATAGTATTTCTTTTACATTTTACATTTTAAAAACGGCCTCTCGTTTATTCCGGTGGAGGTGTCCGGAATTGCGTATTTCCTTGAAGGTGGCTGCCTTGGGGGTCTACTGTAGAGAATGCAGGGTCTCCACGGGACCCCCGCTCCAAGATCTGTTTCTGCCTCCAGCTAACAGGAGCACCTGGGGGTCACCTAGAGCATTGGGGCTCAAAAGGTGTGGAGGAGAGGCTTGAGGGCGAGCCAGGGTCCAGATACCCCAGATTCCTGACCTTCCACATTCCCAAACGCAATGTCCCCATATTAAAGAGTTCTGGGCGTGACTTGCAGCAACGTCCCCACGTCCCCACGTGAAGGAGACTCAGCTCAGACTCTGCAAAGGGACGTCTGAGGAACTCGGGGGACTCCGTACAAGGGCGCGCACGGATGGATGTTCGCAGAAACGCGGTGCTGCAGGGACAGCACTCAGGTGACCTGGCCGCTCCCGGTCCCGCCCCGGCGTGGAATCCCCGAGCGCCAGGGGCACACCCCCCCCCCGCTCCTCCGCCTCCCTCCCCCGCCGGCGCCCGCGCTCACCGTCTCGGGGTCGTTCTCGAACACCTCCCGGGCCTCCTCCTTGCTGCACAGCTCCTCGACACACTCCCTCTCCAGGTGGCCCTGCTTGGCCTCCTCGAAGACCTGGTACGCGCGGCGCTGCCTGGGCCGCAGGAACTGCGCCGCCTCGCGCGCCCGCAGCATCACGGCTGCCGGGACGCGAGTGGGAGGACGGCGCGGGGAGGAGCGCGGAGGAGGAGCGGGGGGAGAGAGGGGAGAGAGCGGGGGCGCGCTGTCAACCCGGGCTCCCCGCGCGCTCCGTCCTCCCCGTAGCGGGCCTGGGGATGCAGCGGCGGGGCGGGAGCGCACGGAGCAGGGGCGCACGAGCAGGGCTGGCACGCGGACACTGGCGCTGCCCTTGGCCCCCGGGCGGCGGGGTCCTTTGGAGAGGGTCCCCCGATCGGCCCCAGCCGCGGCACCCCGCGCGGTACTCACTGTGCGCGGACTCCGAGGCCAGCAGGAGCAGCAGCAGCACGGTGCCCAGGGCGGCGGCCGGCCCGGGCGGCGGCGGCATGGCGAGGCCGGGGACCGGGGACCGGAGACCGGGACTGAGACCGGGGAACGGGAGCCGGGAGCGCGCGCGGTCAGAGTGCCGGGGAGGCCGTGGCGAGCCGCGGGCGCCGCGGGGCGGTGGCTCCGGTCATCCTGTGCGGCGGCTCTGAAGGTCACATCCCGGCGGCGGCGGCGGCGGCTGCAGCAGCACCCGGACTCGCGGCGGGTCTGGGCGGCGGCGGCGGCGGGGAGGCCGGGGTGGCCGGGGCGGGGCGCGCGGCCGGGGGCAGGACTGGCCTCGGGGCCGCGCCGGGCGGGCGGGGCCGATAGCTCCCACCCGCAGCCCGGCGCCCGAGCTGGTTTTAGCTGGGAAGATCAAAGATTGAAGGGGAAACCGGTCACGGGGCGTAGCTACTTCTCACGCCGGCGCTGCTGAGACTGCTAGGGGAGCTTCTACCAAATGGGCGATGGAGTGTATTAATCCGAAGGGGGTAAAGAGAAGGAAGAAATAACACACAGGTACAAAGGTGACCAGGTATGATACTAGAATGTGATCATGCACTACCATTAAACTTCTTTCCCACCCCACCACCCCCAACTCAAATCGACCATATCCTTTTTGGATTCTTCATTCTTAGGCAAATTTTCTCAAGACTTAAAACCCACCAAAAAAAAAAAAAAAAAAAAAAAAAAAAAAAAAAAAAAAAAAGACAAACTGAGGTCAAATTGAATCCCAATGAGGGCCAGGAGTGACATTGAATTATATTCCCTTCTGTAATCTGTGTTTTCCATAATGATGACATTGAAAACATTGAGGTTTCCCAGTGGACATTTAAGCTGAAAGCAACATTGTGTTTGTTCTCAGAGACCAAGACTTTCTGTCTCTCCTTCCCACCGTTTCGGAAAGTTATAGACAAACAAAATCAAAATACAGACCACTCAAGGGGGAGTGTGTGTGTGGTGGTGGTGGTGGGGGAAGCAGGCAGTGTGGGCCCAGCATGCAGGAAGAGGGGGTCCTAGAAAGTGACTGGCCTCCAGAGAATCCTAGTCTGATACCCCTCGTACCCCAACATGGTGAGAAAGGGGCAGCAAGTCACCTCCTCCTCAACTGGTTGGTCATTTTGCTTGTGGGTTAAACACTTAAGGTCCAGACCCATTTCTTCTCCCCTTTCACAATATGAGAATGAAATACCATTGTTGGTACAATTATTTTAGGTCATGGGTTTAAAGGTAGGTTGCCAGAAGCCAGTTCCAGCAAGTTATAATTTCAAGAGTTTCATCAAAGGGTTGATGGAACTTGGGGACACAACAAGGGCCAGTCACATATGTTATTGCCTATTGGAAATGGCTAAAGGCATTTCCCCAAACCTGAAAAGGATGCATTAAATTGCTTTCTTGCTCCAGACAGCTCAGGGCATCTTAATCTACATGTCATTGCCTCCTCCTGGCCAAACTCGTGAATAGAGGAGATAATTCCCCAATCTGACAATGGATTCTGTACCTAATCCTGCCCTTTGAAGTGCATATCTCCACCTTGCCTTGGGACAAATGGTGTTAATAAAAAGCAAGGGGTCCTGAGACAAGGAGATCTTGGTTTCTTCAGCCAAGCTCCTCTGCCCCCCCCCCCCCAAATGCCTTTCAAAATTAGGTTTCATCTCTGGACTCTTTATTAATTTATGCACAGGCCCTTCTCCAAATTTCCTGAAACCTTCTAGATGCCAGATCAAGACCATCAGCGTTAAATGGTGCCCAACATCCTGCATTAGTAGGTTAATGAGCATTAATACATTAAATTCGGGGAAGTGAATTCGCATGAGGACCTTCTTCAAATAGAATTAACAATTTCATAGACAAGTCATCTGCATCTGTGTCTGAACCAGTCACAAGGCACTCCCTTGTCAGCTAGCAACTCATGCAGCCTAGTGATGAAGATTCTGCAAACACTGCAGAACTTAGAAAGACTTGTGTTGGTGCACTTCTGTTCATTATTTCTTAGGGTTCTAAACCAGTGGCCCACAGATAGATTTTAGGAAGTGTGCAAATTACTAGAAATTGTTAGCAATTAGTTTCTGCATCATTTGTGTGTGTTTGGAGAGTTTTTAGAGCGCGTGTAATTCTCAGAGGCTGATCCTAGTAAGAGTGAGTATCCTGGCCTCTGTTATGTCCCTCTAGAAGGGTCTGTGTGGGTGTGGGATCACCACTTCAGGTGACCAGGCATCAGTATGGTCCCACTGGATGGAGCTTTTCAAGTCCCCTGACCTGTTAGCATGGACTTCACTCTCTTTCCCCATTCACCCCTTCCACTGAGTTGGTATCCCAATAATTACCATACCTCCCATTATGCAGAAACTTCTTTTAATAAAATGCATTCACACTTGCTCATTGTGGTTTTGATATCTATGGAATGCAGAAAGCAAGCATGGGGAGTAGTGGAAGAGATCTGATCCATGCTAAAGTCCACAATTTTCTTTCTTTTTTTTTTTTTTAATATATTTTATTGATTTTTTTTTTTTTACAGAGAGGAAGGAAGAGAGATAGAGAGCTAGAAACGTTAATGAGAGAGAAACATCGACCAGCTGCCTCTTGCACAACCCCCACCGGGGATGTGCTCGCAATCAAGGTACATACTCTTGACCGGAATTGAACCTGGGACCCTTCAGTCCTCAGACCGGCTCTACCACTGAGCCAAACCGGTTTCGGCTAAAGTCCACAATTTTCAACCTAGTTACCAATGCAGGAAAATAGATAAGAAGTAAATTGGATAATGTGTTCCGAAATTGGAAAGAGTTATTGGGCACTGTATTATATACACTGAAGTAGCAATGATGAAGTAGACAGCTTACCTCCACTAGGAGCAGGTTAGATCCAGGGCAATGGATGTTTTATGTGGACAACCAGCCTGTGGTCAGGAGGTGAAGAGCCAGTGGCTCTTTCTAAGGATAAATACTGGGATGAAAGTGTAAAGATGGGGTAGGAGGTGGAGTTGGAAATGAGGTGTTTGTAGGGAAATTAAAGTTCCGTATTCTCCTGTCATCACACCTGTGGGTGATGATTTCAAGGCAATAAAACCATTTATTTAGGTGTGCACTCAATAAATGTGAATTGAGTACAGCTGACCCTTGAACAACTTAGTGCTGACCCTCCCCACATATAGTCAAAAACTCATGTATAAATTTTGACTCCCCAAAAACTTAACTACAGTCAGCCCTAGGTATTCAGAGGAGATTGGTTCCATGACCCTGACTCAGATACCAAAGTCTATGGATGCTCAAGTCCCTTATATAAGGTACCACAGAGCAACGCAAAGAGTCAGCTCTCTATATCCATGCATTTCCAACCAGAGATCTAAAATACTGTTTCCTACCCAAGGTTGGTTGGGAATCTATGAATATGAAACCCAGGAATATGGAAGGCTGACAGTATATTTATTTCAAAAACTCTGTGAGTGAACGATTCAAATCTGTCTATAACAGCATAATTGAAACCCATGTTGTTCAAGGGCCAAGTGTCTTAAAAGAAGACATTGTGCCGTGTGCTGATCAGACCATTCACAATTGGTTTTCATTTGTTTGATTTTTTTTGAACAGCTTTATTGCGGTATAGTGGTAATACAATATATTGCTCTCATAAGTTTTGATAGATCTCTGATATATGTATATCCCTGTGAAACCATTACCACAATCAAGTTAGGAGCATGCCCAACCCTCAGAAACATCTCCTCATGCCTTTTGGTAAATTCTTCCTCCTGAACATAAACCCTCATACCCACCACTAGGCAAAACCACCGACCAGCTTTCTGTCACTATAGAAAAGTTTGCATTTTCTGGAGTTTTACATGAAAAGTTGCAGAGAATGTAGACTTTTTTTTGTCTGTATTCTCTCACTTAGCAAATTTATTTTCAGATTCATCTACATTTTGCATGTTTTGATAGTTTATACCTTTTATTACTCAGTAGTATTCTTGTGTATGGGTATGTTAAAATTGGTTCATCATTTACCTGTTGTACATTTGGCTTGCTTTTAGTTATTGATTATTACCAATAAAGTGGCTATGGACATTTGCATACATGATTTTGTATGCATATAAACTTTCATCTCTCTTGGGGATATATATTGAAACAAAATGATTGGGTCATATGATAGGCATTTAACTTTTTAAGAAAGTGACAAACTGTTTTTGAAAGTGATTTGTCATTTTACATTCCCACCAGCAGTGTATGAATTCCAGTTGCTCCACATCCCCACCAACGCTTGAGATGGCTAGACATTTTAATTTTAGCCATTCTAATAGGTGGCTTGAATTTGCACTTTTCTAATAACTAATGATGCTGTTAATAACTAATGATGTTGTTTAATGTGCTTATTGGCATCCAAATATATATATATATATATATTTATGAGGTCTATGCTTAAGTTTTCTCTTTTTTTCCCTTTTTCTTGGGATGTTTGCTTTTCTGAATAGTGAGTTATTTGTTGAGTATTAAGAGTTCTTTAAATATTCTTGATATAAGTCCTTTATCATATGTGTGATTTGCAAACAGTTATTTCCAATCTGTGACTAATCTTTTCATTCCATTAAAGAATGAAAACTCTGCTTTACCATAAAACAGAGTTCTTACTTTTGAAGTACAATTTATTATTTTTAAGTGAATCCTACTTTTGGAATCATATTTGCCTAACCGAAGGCCACAAAGACTTTCTTCCCGAAGTTTTATAGGTAAAAGTTTTGCATTTGGGATTATCATGCATTTTGAATTTGTTTCTACATATTTTATAGTTTCATTCTATTGTAAATGCTTTTTATTTCAATTTCGGATTATTAAAACACTTGATTATTATATAATTACCTTCTATCCTACAACTTTGCATAACCAAATTGTTTGTTTCATTGCTATTTTTGGTAGAGTCACTAAAATTTTTTACATAGATGATCATGTTGTTTGTAAATATAGACACTTAACTTTCTCCTTTGCAATCTGGGTGCTTTTTACTTCTTTTCTTGCTTTATTGACTGTCTAGCAA